AGGGGGGGAGGGGTAGGGGAAAGAAGGGGATTAGGGTAGGGAGGGGGGAAGAGAGGAAAAGGGGGAGGGGACGCAGTAGCTTAGAGAATATAATATGTTTATGTTCGCCTTTTTTTGGTCTTTTCCTACTCGCCCACAACGTTCGCTGTTCTGTTCAACAAAACATATTAAATACATTAGGCCCTAAACCCTCACCTTGCGGGGCGTTTGCTGGGAATAGATCTAAACTATTTGCATCTCTAAAGCCACCCATATAAAAAAATAAAACGGCGTTTTGGGAATAGCTTTTGATAGAATTCATCATGTTGTTTCAAACCTTGTTTGACACTGAGCGTGTATTAACTTGTCCGAAAAGATCAGATTGAAAAAATTGCTGGCAACCGACTATAAATAAGTTATAATGTTTTGTCTGTGTTTTCCTCCCCTGCCACAACCTAGCAACATCAATTGTCCCAACATTCTTTCAGTTAGTTTTAGTTTTAGTAAGGTTTTACGGCTCTCGGCAACTACACAAGGTCATATGAGCACCAAGGGGTGGATGTCAAGAGAAGTCCAAACGGGGGACCAGGCTTACTTTGCTCACCTCTCTAACCTCAACAGCACAAAGTCTGCTTCGACTATCAAGGCACCCTGGAAATACCAGTTCACAAGAGAGTGAGAAACATACATAAGAAGTAGAGGAAAAAGAACGAAAGTAAGGATGAGGAAAGAAAAAGCAGCAGTTCCCCCTATGTTATTCCGGCGCAGTATGAGCATGACATTGATAAATCAACCCATTTACAATTTACAATTGCATAAGAACATGTTAATATCCCCCCTTTGGGAATGACTGAAAGACAACACCAGTCAGTAGTACTGCCCTAAAGGGGGGGGGGGGGATCCCAACATTCTAAAGTCAGAGGAAGAGCTTGCAGTTAAAAACACCCCTCGGCGAAACCCCTAGGCGAAGATGGCAAAAACACAGAAACGCTAAAACAATTAAATCATTTGATTTGGCATTGATACTATAACAGAACTTTCAATGAAATCTAAGACTATAATATGTGTGTGTACCAGAAGAACTACTTCAGTCAGTTTATATTTTCATCAACCCCCCCCCCCCAAAAAAAAATTTTTTTTTTAAAATATATATATTAGAAAAGAAAATTCTGAAAAGCAAGAACATGCTTTGGTTTCAGTACCATCATTCTATTAGTGCCGCATATGAAAATATTTTAGAAAGTAATCTAGGAAAGAATCAAGGATAAAATTGTAAATTGAAAAAGAAATTGGAGATGAACAGTTCGGCTTCAGGTCTAGAAGTTGCGCCAGAGAAGGAAACCTTCTGCATGAACGCAATGGCACAACAATGAAACAGCACCAGACCATTTTGAAGGAACTACTTGAAGCAAAGATGTGTGACAGTGGGCCAAGGTAATGTTCTGTCTTGGTAAGTGTTTTACGGCCCTTGCAACTGCATATGAGCGCGGGGGACACATTAAACATGTTCAGTTGGTAGGAAATGTTTAATTTTTCCCGAGTGGCGGCCGAATCCTACTCTGATCGATTTTTTATTACCAAAGGATCTCTAACGTGCACAACGTGCACACGGGACCTCCGAGAATTTTCGCCCTTGTCTGAAAAGGCTAGGTGTAGATCTTTCCTACCAGAAGATCAGGGATGTGGCTGAAAGACAGAAGTAAAAAGAAACCAAGGAGTAGCAGTAGAAAGACTACAGAAAGAATCAAGAGCCCAGAGGAGGGGGCAAAGGAGGTGAGGGGGTGGGGGCAGAAAGTGGAAACGAAAGCAGACGACAGATCAATGCTAGAGAGCAGGAAAGGAGGTGAAAGGAGACAATTAAGAGAAGAAAATTTTAAATTTTTCTATAGCTACCCGGAGTCGAACCCGGGACCTTTGAATGAGAGGCGAATACTTTGACCTTTAGGGCAAGAGAGCCCCAGGGCCAAGGGTGGAAAAGAACAACACGGACGGATCCCATCAAGACATGGACGGGCCTATATATATATATATAGTTAGATGTATGACAGAGAGCAAAACGGCAGCTAGCGACCGTAAACTGTAAACAGGTGGGTCATTGCACGTCAACCTCTGAGTCAGAGGTGACCCCTTCAGGTATCCCCATGTATCTCTGAGTTTGGTTAACTACATGCATGTAAAATTCTTAACTACCAGTGCTTTTCCATTTACTCCTTGGCTCCTTCTTACTGCTGTCTTTTAGCCACACCCCTGATCTTCTGGTACGTATGATCTAACACCTTGCCTTCTCCTTCTCAGAAAGGACAAAAAATCTCGGAGGTCCTGTGTGCAAGTTTGCGCACGTTCAAGATCCCTTGGTGGTCCAAAATCATCTATAAAAATATAAGAGAAGGCTTGGGCCGCTACCCGGGCAAACATTCAAAATTAATTCCTTCCAAAGTGAAAACGCTTAAAATGTGTCTCGCGCACTCATTTAACTATCAAGACTTTGTTCAGTTGCAAGCGCCGTAAAACACTTACCAAAAAAGAAAAGAAAAGGAAGCGGGGTAACAACACCTGATACTGGATGCATGCACACAACTGCATCCGAAGTGAGTTAAAATCAAATCTGCCTTTGAACATTAAATAAATTTCTGTGACGTAGATCTATGCCATAAAGACGTCATTGGCCTACATTATTGCCCTTGTGTTAGAGACAGGTCGTCGTTATTCACTCATGTAAATTGTGCACGGCTGTTATTTCTCTCTGTGTCTCCGCTTAAAAACATGTTTTTCCTTTGTAACGGGATTTTCCGGTATCTTTACATGCTAACAACCCATTCTAAAAATAAGAATGCGCCTAGGATCCCGCTTTGAATTTAAGATCAGGGCAAGAACGTTTATTCTTAGCTGCTTTGCCATGTTTTGCGCCCATTTTGGGACAAGAGATAGAAGTTGGAGCAAACTTGGGGACCGTGAAATCTACTCTGACACTTTACAAGATACAAACACACTGAAACGTACACAGAACGTTTGTGTGTGTGTGTTTGTGTGTGGGGGGGAGGGAGAGGGACCATGCACGTGCGCTATGGTTCTCCATTCATTCCTTTGCTCGGATGCTCTTAATAATAAAAAGCTACGTTTCCCTGGTCTTTCCCTGTTACCCATTTGCTTAAGTTCCTCAAGTTGGTTGCTCTGGGCCTACCCCTGCCTCGTTGGCTGTCAATTTTGCCTGTGAGATCTAGATGTTCAAGACCCTTAAGTCTATCCAG